TTGAGATGCCAGGGTTTTGACTCATGCCCATTTTGCATTGACAAGTTATGTTAACATGGTATGGTTTTTCTTCATGAAACTCAGGAGATGTTGTGCCAACAGTTGTGTCTCGGCCACGACGGGGAGTTGGTGTCACAAACACACACGATTGTCGCATACAACATTGTCACACAGACACAACATTCTCACACACAACTTTGTCACACATAGCACGTCACGTACAACTCTGTCACACACACAACATTGTCCCGGCCGTGCACTTGGTGATACTCACGGCATGTTCTGCCAGATGCCATGTCTAGAGCACAGGAGTCCTTGGTGGTCAAGATTGTCTAGATTCTTTTTTTTTGCTACACACGGCTTTCACAACATTGTGTCACACACACAACTCTCTAACGCACGACCATTGTCACACACAGACACAGGTCTGTCGCACACAACTCTGTCACACAACACCATTTTCACACAACTCCGCACATAAGATCCTGTCCGTCATGCCTTGCATTTGTGCAATACACACTTCCCCTCACACCGTCCTCTTTACTGATCTGTCTTCCATTGCCTCATTCTGCTTTCCTGCCTTCCCCGTTCTATTTTTTGCACCTATTCCGCGCTTGTTGGAAGAAGGCCTGGGCTACCTGAGTTCAATAACACATTAATTGGATTCAACACTTCATGTCAACATTTCTGTCCTTTTGTTTCACCCCATCACGTATGCGCATTGCTTCCAACAGTGCTTCAAACCCCTCTCCTGGCAACAGTTTCTCGCCAACTTCTTTTACATTTTTTTTCTTTACTTCCCTTTGAGGCCCAATGTTTCTTTAGTTTCTTCGCATCTCTCATTCAACAAACCCTTCCAAAATTTTCCCTTTTTCATTGCATTTCTCGCAGGATGACTTTAGTTTTCTCTTCCCTGAGCGGTTTATCATGTTTGTTTCATCGCTCTTTCTTGTACGTACTTTGCTGTGCGGCGTGCCCTTTTCCCCGCAAAACCTGAAATTCGCCGTTCTTCTTTCAATACATTTTCGCAATTTATCCAAGACTGTGTCGTATTGGTGCAAGGTCTTTCTTGCAGTTCTGCAAATAGACTTTGCCATCGTTTTTTCATCAAACTTTTGTGTCGCAAGGCACTTGTGAAAAATTCTGGCGAAAATATTCTACACCCGGCTACTCCCGGACAGCTCAGCAAACATTTTTGGTAACTTGTTTCCTGAATATGTGGAGTCTGGCCAAAAACATCGTAGAGAGCAAAACCATGACCCATCCGGGAATAAATAAATTAAACAATAACAACATAAACAAATAACAATATAAATAAATCAATAAATAAATAAACATATATATATATATACGCAAATGGTGATCATGGTATTTGTCGATGCAGCGGGCCCCTGCCGAATACAAGGCATTTTTGCACCTATAAAGGTGCTAGGTTCTTTCGTGCTAGGCCTACGCTGGCGCTTTTATCGTGTTTCCCTTCTTGGCCAGAAAGAAATAAAAAACGTGATCCCTTGTGTTCTAAATCTGACGCAAAAATAACGGTAGGAACAACCTTGAAATGCCACTCCTGTCCCGATAGCCGGCTCATCCTCATCATCTTCGCATCCCCATCCTCTCAGTGTATCCTCCTTGTGGGAAGGAAAGCAAAAGACATTCTATAGGGCAACCATGTCTTACAAAAGTGCAAAACATAGCGTTCTGTGTGTTTTCCATTTTTTGCCAAAATGAAGAAACTTTTGAACATTTTAAATTTCGCAGCAGGCCCCAAGCAAAAATGTGCTTTTCAAGACACTCTTTGGAGAAGACCAGCCACCGCATGCGTTTCCAAGACCTTTCCCCTTACTTTTGAAATTGAAATATATGTTGCAATTTTGCATGCCGATATCTTTGTACTTCAAACTCCGTGATCCAGCAGAAGCTACCTTTCATCCCCAGTCCTTTCAACTTGACATGCGAGGTTATCCGGTCCTTTAAATGTCGGGCCAATGAACAGAGCAGTTGGTTGCTGGTGTATGAACATATGAAATTTACAATTTGCGGCCATGAAAAATCATGGAAAGCGACTTCCAGACCGTCCCATTGGAGAAAGATGATTAATATGATTCTCAAAGATTCTAGATTGATATTGATATGGTTCATCCACTAATATTATCCTTTATGGTTCTTCCATTATCCAATGATTAGATATTAATAAGATATAATAAAATATGATATATTCTGCCATTAATGTAACATTCCATGTAACATTCCATGTGATTCCATGAATTTTCCATTTTCAAGGCCCTTTTAACGATGGTTCCTTTATGAATGGTCAAACCGTGCCTTCTCAAACGAGGCCCTTTGACGACGAAGAGTTGGAGGACACCGGAGAACGATTACTGGCGATCCGACGGAGCCAAGAGTCACTTGGGTGGAACAGGGCTAAGATGAACAAATATGGTGATATTATGGTGATATTATGGTATATGTATATTATTACACATTAATTATGGTATATGGTATATCATATGTATATTATGGTATATTATGGTATATGTCACATATTTGTAATTATGGTATATGTATATTATTACATATTTGTATATACAGTTGGTGGAACAGGGCTAGGATGATACCACTTATGGTGAATATCTCCATATGGTGAATATTCACCATCTTTGTAATATTATGGTGATATTATGATGAACAAATATGACATATTTATATGGAACAGCAATATGAACAGGGATATATGGAACAGGGATAAAATATGCAAATATGGAACAGGGATATATGGACGTCATATCACCATAATATGGACCATATTTCAAACCACCAAACCATTTGAATGGTTTTCTTTTGCAACCTGGTGATCTTAGTCTCTCCAGTTTTTCTCCAACTCCAAGACAACTTAGGTGTGCCATATTTTTTTTCGGTTTTCCCCAAGCCAAAAGCCTGACATTGGCCGAGGCAGCGACTGAACTTCCCCTCGCGCTGCCCTCCCAAGGGCCAGGCTTTTACGGCACGGCTGCTGAGGAAATTACCACATCGCCTGGGTGCGCAAGTGGCTGGGTGTAACTTGGGGGTTGGGGTGCTGGGTTGGGACGGGGGCATGGATGGGTTGGGGTTGGGGGAAGTTTTTGTTCCAAAAAAATATGGAAACAAGATGGTGGGAGAACTTCTTAAAAGTCAGATAAACTTAGGATGTGCTTTTCTGAGGTGGGACACTGAGCGGTTTATCAGGAAGATGAGTTGGTAAACAAGAGATTCTGGTAAGTCTGGTGGACTTTGGTAAGTTTGGCGCAATTTGGAAACACATCATACAGACTCCGCCAAGGCAGGTGCTCCAGAGGTGCGTTCTCACTACTTTTTTGATAGCATCTTGGCTGAGGGCTGCCCTACGGACGGCCGAAAGTGGATGAAAGTGATGAAACGTCGAGCAGCATGACGAACTCAAAATTTCGGGGAAGACGCCGCACTTTATTTTTCTATATTTTCCTTACAACTTGCTGATTTTGTGAACAAAAGTGGTCAGACACAACTGCGCTGCGCTCCGTGAGGCTTTGACTTCTCTACCCTTCATGCGCAAACCATGATGAGCCCAGTGGAAAGACCCTGGAAAGGGAAGGATGATGGTAACCAGCCAGCCCCTTCGCTGCACTAGTGATGCCCCTGCAAACTTGGATTGTTTCAAAATTTGTCACCATTTCTAGCGCTTTTTTCGACGAAGACTCAACTGCCTTTCCAAGCCTTTTTTCGACCTTCCAAGGAAGTGAGATCACCTTGGCTACGTGGCTCCTGGTGCTTGAGCCCAGGAGAGGAAGAGATTTTTGAAGCCTACGCTGATGATGGAAGTGGCTGGGACCAAGAATTTTAGATCCAAAGATATCGAAGATGATATCGAAAGAATAGATCGAATAGATAGCGACTAGAAATTGTATCGAGCATGTTTCACGAATGCTGAGATTGCTCGAGATTGCGCACTCTGCAGCGCCATACTGCAGCGTGTTTTTCTGGGGATCGGCAAATCATTTCATGGCGTCATGGTGTGCAGCTGGGTGCAGCGAGAGTGGCACGCTGGCCAGATGCACAGAATGTCAGAATGTGATGAATGAACATGTGGATGTCAGTGGCAGGTATGGCTTTGTTCATAAGCCATATACGCCAAATACACATATGCAAATATAATCAAATATAAACGTGTTTTTTGAATGATGGGAAGTTGTTGCAGACTTCTTGTGACATCCCGGCCGTGTCGCCTGCTGACAAAGTCTTTGCTGCTGGTCTCCTGACAGTGAATCTAAGAGTTTCTGCCGACCAAATTCGGAAGGGCAGACTGACCCTGGTTCTGTCCCTGCTGAGAGTTCTTACTTCGCACAAGTTGCGAATGTGCCCGTGACGTCACATTTTGCTTAAAAAGACCACTTGCAAGCTCGGGATGTCATTTGGACTGCTAGCTTGATGGCGCCTCAGCAATTTCTGCACGACTTTGAAGACATTCTTAAAACTTGAAGAGTCTGGATATCCAAATTAATTTTATAAGTACCTGACAGCCAGTTTGAAATGCTGTACATTTTTAGATTTGATGAGGCTTCTTAAGACTGTTCTTCAGAAGAGCAATCCACTTGCAGCTTGGTGGCATTCAGTCCTTCAGCCAACAAAAATGCACAAAGTGGTTCAAAACCACAGAAACCAATGGATGTTGCCATTCAAAAACCGGACACTTTTTCATGGCGATATATTTCATGATATCATCATTTTGGCACACTTTTGGATGATTTTGGATGATCTTCTATGATCTAACAGTGGCATTTTGGCTAACAGTGGCCTTGTAATTGTAAAGCCAGGCCTATGCCCATGTGGAAATAGCAGATGAAGCTCACTCCGTGCATGGCCAAGCAGGGGCCCCAGGGGGGTTTGATCAATGGCAACCGTGGCATCAACGATGGCGTCGCAGCGATGGCATGACCGAGGCCACTGCCACGTGCTTGGGCAAATCCAGTGAGGGGTCTCCGGGGTCTCCAGTCTCTCCGGTGCCTCTGAAGGCTGGAGATTCAGAGCTGCCTGATGGCATCTGAAAAAAGGACTGCCACAGATATCACCTGATATCATACTGATATCACCATGAAATCTGTGAAATGTGTGAAATGTGGTGAGGCTTGGCAGAAACATGTTTTTTTTTTACTGCAGGGTCTTGTGAATTGAACTATGCAACTCAAGTCATGTGCTTCATCTGTCTTTTTCTTCTCAATGCTTCTCTTTTACTGCAGCCGTTTTTGGTTTGAGGTGGGCTCATGGAGCACATCCTGGCTAAGTTCCATGATGAGATACTATCAATTTTACCATTAATACAGTTGGATTACTATTTTGAATACTTCTCATTAATTGCCAGTCCCACTATTTGATACCATAATATACCCTTGTTGGATACAATTCCAGGAATATCTTATCGGAATCTCATCCATAGCTATGATGGTGATTTCTTTGGTTCGATGATTGAGTTATCAATAGCAATGATTTTCCATACCAATTAAAATTAAATCTTTTGTCCCATTGGCCCTTTGATATTCCTTCCTTCAATTTCCAACTATTTATTTGTTATTGCATGATTCATTTCCCATTAATATTTTCCGTTTTTCCCTATGGGATACTCATGGGATTGATAGGAATGTCTCGTTAATTTCCCATCACTTTTTGAGTATCCCGTTAATAATCACCACAACAACGATAGTAACAACAAAGTGAAAAACAATGATGACAATAACGATAATAAAGAGAGTATTAACAATAATAAACAACGATAATAATAAGAACAATCACAATCACACCAACACCGATAGCAACGATAGTAGCAACAACAACAACAACAACAACAACAGTGGTGACGATGATGACGACGACAATCATATTCCATTTATCATGGCTATGTAAAAAATATGGGATATCTCCGCTCTCATCCCCTTTTTTCTGGGCATGTTCGCCTGGCGCATGGCGACCTCGCAGACGGAAACTCAGGTGTCCAGACTTCCCATGGGCAGGATCCAACCCAGTGTTTCTCTGATCGACGGTTTTTTCTAGGGAAAATCACCTCCAATTTTCCATAGCCATCTTAAATGACAGGAGGGTAGTAACGGGGTATAGTGCTATATAATGGGGTTATAAACCAGTTGTAAATTCGGGACGTAGGAGACTTACTAACCAGGGTGAACTAGTTACATCCGTGGGATCTTGGAGGCGTTGTTGGCGGAAACATGGCAAGCAGCGTGTGGAAACATGGGCCATTTTCTGGGAGCTATCCATGAAGAAAGTTAAAAAACGATAGGGAATTCGGGAAAAACATCTGGAACCAGGGAACAAAATCTATGAAACACATGGAACAACCACGGGAAACTATCGGACATTGCATCCAATTTGGATGGGAGAAAGTGCGGAAGGGTCAAGTGAATCAAGCGATGAGGCTATCTCGATGGATCAACACATGGCTAGTCATTCAAAGATTTCGAATCATCCGGTCTGGGGGGTTGATAATTTTGAACCATACCCAGTTGTTGGAAAGTAGGCAACAAAAAAGGTTGGGAATAGAGGTAGGAACAGTTGGTACCATGGAACTGGGGATAGCACAAACAAGAATAAGTGAGTTGGTGTGTTGTTGGAGCCACACTTCCATGGTTTTTTGCGGGCTCATCATCCGGATGAAATCCCCTAAAATCCAATCCATTCCGTGGAGTCGTAGCCCATATGGCCCCATTCAATGACTTGCAGGGCCATGTTTCGCCGCATCCGCAGCCATTCGACCTCCGTCATGGAACGCTCAGAAAGTGAGAAACACGTTTTTGTGGCGGAATGGGATGAGGAAGGCGTTTTCTTCTACCAGGCGCTCTGAAAAACCGCTAGACTAAGGGGCCTGAGTTTTTGAACAAAGCTCCTCTGGAACTGAATAAGGAATGCTGTTGATTGCGGTATTTATGACACCTAAATTATTGGTCTATGGTTGTAGCTTGACACTTGACAGGGTTCAGCTATGTTTCAGGCCTAGCATAGTTTGCTCATCATTTCTGAGGAATTTTCAGGAGCTTCAAGAAGTCGATGAATGGATCTGGTGCCATCTGTGCTTCTGTCAGGCCTTCAACAAGCAAATTGCCAACTGGGCTGTGAAAGAGCAGCGATTTGGTGGTCCCCATTTCAAACCTGACCGAATGACTTGGAGTCTTGGACGAAATTCACATAAAAAACATCATGCGCTTAACACGAGACGCAGCGGTGTTCTCCATTTGGGTCAGAAGGCTAGGAAGCCCTCACTTCAAGGTCAATTTTTTTGCACTCTAGCAACTCTAGTAGGGAAAATTCACTGGTTGAGGTATTTGCCATTTGGAAAATCCATGTTTGGCACACTTGGATTTCGGCCAATTTTAGCCATGATTAGGATCAAACCATCTCTGGCATGGGTCCTCTACCGTGCTGGTTATGGATTCAAAGATGCCAACCAGGACGTTGGACGTCCACACTGAGGGGTTTTTACGGTAAGTGTTAAAGGCCGGGGTTATATAGATCAGGGTGCTCCATCTGGCCTCTGGCTTTTTCCCTGCTATTATGGCCATCAGCAGTGTTGATAACCCTGTTGATTGATGATTACAGGTGGTTATACTATCCGATATGTTGCGAAGTATCACATTCAATTTTGGGGATATCCATGGATATCCTATGAACCAAACAGTTTTTGAAGGGACTACATTTCGGGTTTTGAACACTGCTGGGTGAGTTTGTTTGGTGTTCGTTTTTCCCTGGCAGGAACGCATTTTGAAGATCAAGGTGCCCCACACAGCAGTGGCCGAAATTCTCAGTCACTGTAGCTGCGGACATGGAGGTCGCGTTGGGATGGGGTGTTGATAGTGGAAAATCCACTATGAATAGAGGTTTCTAGCTGGGAACATCATGCATAAATGGGGAATTTTCATGAATTTTCCATTTTCCAGCAAGCCATGTTTGATTGCCAGAGGGATCAAATGGCTCTTAGTTTCAGAGATTTTCAGAGTGCCATTTGATGCCTTGATTTGTTTGGTCTTGAACCATTGATCCTACATCGAATGGCACATTGATCCATCGAGTTTTTGTGGAATCCAGGGGTGTCTTGATCCAGAGCTAACATTGGTGGAGGATAGACATTCCCAACGGTTGAGTGATGCTTAAGTGCAACATTTTACTAGACTAGCCCTGAAACAATAGGGTTTCTTACCAAACATGTTTCAATCAAATGATGGCAATAACTTCGACCTTTTCTGTTGGTAAAAAAGAAACAACCGGTTTTCTCCATGGGTTTTGGATGGTAACCACCTCCGGATCCAGGTGGTGGCACGGTGGGTCGGGTGCAATGGGACCCGGCTCGTTGCTTGCTGGTTGGCAGGGCTGGGGAACCAGCCAAGCATCCGGAGACTTGGAGATGTGGAAGCGAAGGTTGGCGTTAAGCTTGGAATGTTGGGGAATCAGTTGGGCTGAAAATGAGACATTTACAATTTACATACATTTATTTACATACATTTACATACATTTACACACATTTACCATAAGGGAATTCAACATGGGCAATTGAACATCAAGACATGGACAATTGAGCGGAACAATCAACCATAAATGCTGGGTTTTCCATTGCCATATGTGATTTCCAGAGGGTGGGAATTACCTCAGGTGATAGCCATTTTTGTGGAGAAAATGATAGTGGCAGCTTTATGATTTCGGGGTGCCATGTTTTCAGACAGCTTATCTCAACCAGCTTTATGAAGAAAACAAAACACGGGGTGAAGAGATGTGAGCTTATCTCAACCAACTAAACCAACTAGTACTTGGCGATCTAAGATAGTAACAAGATCTAAGATACATGAAAAGACAGGTCATACAATCAACAGAAATGTGTCAAAAAATCAGGACCCTCCCAGCCAACTATGGGGGAATCTGACGGTGGGGAATGACCACCAAGCTTTCGATTGGTATTAAACATGATCGGGGCAAGGAGATATCAATTGGGCATTGTAACAAGCAATAGGGCACCCACAAATCCAGTGCTTTCTCTTTGTTTTCATGTTGTTTGATTTTTGATTGGCTATAACTCAGTATTTCGAAGCAAACCTGGGTAAGATCCCGATCTCCCGATCCCATTTGGCCATAGCTCAACCGATCAGAGGCGAGTTTACCCCTGATTTTTATGGGACTTTCTCCCAAAAATGGACATCGCAAAATGAGGAACAGCGAGCCATTCAAATTGGTATGAAGGACGACCTGTCGCGTTTCTACGTGCAGAGCGCCGTCTCCATTGAGGACGTTACATCTGTGGCACATTGCATCGCAAAGGCGCATAAAGAAGCTCGGGAGATTGGGGAGATGGATGTGGCACTGCCAATGGAGAGACCCTACTTTCCCAGGTGCTGCGGGTTGGCGTATGCTGGGATGAACACTGAAAAAACTGCCTGCAGCATTTTGGAAACCTGTAAACACTTAAACTGACACTTCTTTCAAGCTGTGTACGTGCAATCTGATGATCAAGGTTTTGATTGGCCAGGCTTCAACTCTATTCAACTACTACATGTGTTTCAGTATACTTTCATCAGACCGTACGAAAAATCGTTCATGCCCTTCATGCCCTTCAAACTTGCCGCGGTATACTGGAATGAACAACCCCTGTGCCCATCATTTCTCACTTCATCTCATTCCTCAAGTTTCTGCAAGGTGCACTGAAGAGGTGTACTCCCGCCTCCAGCTTTGTCAGCAATACACCGCGCCGCCAAGTTGTGGTTGTTTCGTTTGTACAGACTCGGGATGTGGAGAACAGGAAGTCTCACCTGTCGTGCAACCCGTCCCCTGACACCCAAGCCAGATGTCTGAACCAGATTGAGCTGAAGCCTTTCTTTTGGGCGTTGGCCTAGTCTGTTGTACAGATCAGAAAAAAAGGGCGAGTATGGCTGCCATGCTTGATCTGAACATGATCTAAAGAGCCTAAATGGTTGGCCATTGTTCATCTCCAGGAATTGCCAGGAAAATTTGCATGATATCTTCATATTTGGGCTAAAAACACGCAACACCCCAGCCGGTTTCAGAATTTTCCCTCGCAGGCTATGTCTCTTCAGGCGGATGGGCCTGGTGGTCATCTCTGAGATATGTGTTGCTTGAGACTAATCCATAATTGGTTGATGATTTTACTTGTTGTTGTTGTTGTTGGTGGTGGTGGTGGTACCAAGTGATCCCGTAGATCCACAGTTGTCAATGCGCAGTTGTCAATGCGGCAGTTGCCCCAGCTTTTTTTTTCGGCAAGTTCTACTAGGGAAAATGACAAAAATGGCACTGGTATGTTGGATTTTCAGCTTTTCTCAAGATTTTCAGATGACAAAGCCATGCAAAAATGGTTCAAAACCTATGTTATACCGTTATACCACATTTTTGGGGTCTGAACATCCATTGGCGACTGAGGCTGCTCAGGCTCTCCAAACTGATGGTCAGAGCGGAGCTTGAATTTCAGCCTGACAAATCTTACACCAACTTGCAACCGTTGCATCCTTGCAGAGGACATCTGCGTATCACATTAACATCGTAAACTAACTCAAAGGCTGCGAGCTGTGCAATTTTTTTATAACTTGGCGGCTTCGTTTTCTGTCAAAATCCATGGCAGTCGCTGATACGTTTTCCAGTAGCTCTTTTTCCCGAGAGCGTCTGAGCGCAGGGTTCTTCCAATAGTGGGGGTCTGTATCTTATCTTCTCATCTTCACATCTTCTCATCTTCACATCTGTATCTCATCTTCTCATCTTCACATCTGCTCATCTTCACATCTGCTCATCTTCACATCTGCTCATCTTCACCTCTGCTCATCTTCACATCTGCTCATCTTCATTCACACCTTCTTTCACATCTTCTCATCTTCACATCTCATCTTCACATCTGCTCATCTTCACATCTGCTCATCTTCACATCTCTTCTCATCTTCACATCTGCTCATCTTCACATCTGCTCATCTTCACATCTGCTCATCTTCACATCTGCTCATCTTCACACCTTCTCTCACATCTTCTCATCTTCACATCTGCTCATCTTCACATCTTCTCTCACATCTCTCTCACATCTTCTCTCACATCTGCTCATCTTCACATCTTCTCTCACATCTTCTCTTACATATTCTCTCACATCTTCTCTCACATCTTCTCTCACATCTGCTCATCTTCACATCTGCTCATCTTCACATCTTCTCTCACATCTGCTCATCTTCACACCTTCTCTCACATCTGCTCATCTTCACATCTGCTCTCACATCTCTCTCCTTTTTTTCTCTCTCTCGCCTTCTTTTTATCTTTCTCTTTTAAGGCCGAGGGTGGTGCCGGCGGCGAGTCACGAAACGTCAACCCTTTCACACGAAATGAGGGTCGATCGGCAAAAACTGAGGTAAAATTGCGATTTGACTTGTGCTGGAGCAACCCTTTCGCACGAAATGAGGGTCGATCGGCAAAAACTGAGGTAAAAATGCGATTTGACTTGCCCCGGAGCAACCCTTTCGCACGAAATGAGGGTCGATCGGCAAAAACTGAGGTAAAATTGCGATTTGACTTGTCCTGGAGCAACCCTTTCGCACGAAATGAAGGTCGATCGGCAAAAACTGAGGGAAAATTGCGATTTGACTTGTCCTGGAGCAACCCTTTCGCACGAAATGAGGGTCGATCGGCAAAAACTGAGGTAAAATTGCGATTTGACTTGTCCTGGAGCAACCCTTTCGCACGAAATGAAGGTCGATCGGCAAAAACTGAGGTAAAATTGCGATTTTACTTGTCCTGGAGCAACCCTTTCGCACGAAATGAGGGTCGATCGGCAAAAACTGAGGTAAAAGTGCAATTTTACTTGTGCCGTTCTTGTCTGTGTGTAAAAGCGCCTGTGTGTAAAAAGCGTCTGTGTGTAAAAGTCTCTGTGTGTAAAAGCGTCTGTGTGTCAAAGCGTCTGTGTGTCAAAGTGTCTGTGTGTAAAAGCGTCTGTGTGTAAAAGTGTTTGTGTGTAAAAGTCTCTGTGTGTAAAAGCGTCTGTGTGTCAAAGCGTCTGTGTGTCAAAGTGTCTGTGTGTAAAAGCGTCTGTGTGTAAAAGTGTTTGTGTGTAAAAGTGTTTGTGTTCAAGTGTTTCTGTGTAAAAGCCTCTGTGTGTAAATGTGTTTGTGTGTGAAAGCGTTTGCGTGTAAAAAGCGTCTGTGTGTAGAGGTTGTCTGTGTGTAAAAGCGTCTGTGTGTCAAAGCGTTTGCGTGTAAAAGCGTCTGTGTGTAAAAGTGTTTGTATGTAAAAGCTTCTGTGTGTAAAAGTGTTTGTGTCAAAGTGTTTGTGTCAAAGTGTTTGTGTAAAAGCCTCTGTGTGTACATGTGTTTGTGTGTGACAGCGTCTGTGTGTAAAAAGCGTCTGTGTGTAAAAGCGTCTGTGTGTCAAAGGGTTTGTGTGTAAAAGCGTCTGTGCGTAAAAGTGTTTGTATGTAAAAGCTTCTGTGTGTAAAAGTGTTTGTGTTACAGTGTTTGTGTACAAAGCCTCTGTGTGTAAAAGCTTTTTGTTTAAAAGCGTCTGTGTGTAAAAAGCGTCTGTTTGTAAAAGTGTTTGCGATGCAAACTACTGTCTTGCACTTCTCACTGTCCTGTCTTGATACTCCTCTTCTCGACTGCCTATAACAGAGCTTTCATATATCGTTTCTAATATTGCGTCTCCATACTAACAAGAGAAGACCCTGCTCCCCCCTGAACTGGCCGAGCAAACATGACTGTAAGCATTTCCAGAGCTTCTTTTGGTGGCCGTGGTGCTCGTCTTTGGAGATTTTGGAGGCCTGCTGCATGTTGCCGTGTGGCAGTCATTCGATGTTTTGCAGCTAGCTTTTGGTAAAACCGCATGATTTTGCGAGTTTCAACTGCAAGCTTGTGTTCCGTTTGTTTGGTGAAAGCATGAAGCTGGTCGGCGCAGCTATTGGTTCGAGATTTGTATCGCGCTTGGCGTCTATAAGTTGTCACTCTGGGTTCGCTGCAACCGCATCTTTGCTTGAGACATTCAGTTTCACCGTAGTGCATCCTGTCTCACCGTAGTGCATCGGCGTGCGTCAACACCTTTGTGAGCAGCTTAGTTATTTGATGTTTAACTTTGATTCTTGTATTGCAACCAGAACTGTCTGAGCATTGAATTTGAAAATGAAGTGCATCAGCATGAGTCAACCAGAACTGTCTGAGACTTGCTGATGCACGCATCTTTGCTTGAGACATTCAGTTTCACCGTAGTGCATCCTGTCTCACCATAGTGTATCGGCGTGGGTCAAGCAGAACGGTCTGAGACTCCATAGAAGAGCAATAAAGCTGCCGATTCCTTTTGCGCGTATAGTTGTGCCGGGACATCGCTGAATGTGATCTGTCACAGTCATTAGTCATAGTCCTTGAATGCTTTGCGGGTCCGCATTGTTGGTCTGTGCAGCTAGGTTTGCATCGAGTCAGGGCCCCGGGATGGGATGGATTACCTGGATAAGCTGCTACCACAAAGAAACAAATCGATATATTTTATATTGAGATAGAGATAGAGATATGATATAAAGATGGATGTATGACCCTAAAGAACCAACTTCTATCATATTGTAATACTGTGCGTGTCCCAGCCCAGAAACGGTCGCTGCCTGCCATGTCCGCCCGTTTATACCTTTTTTTCAGGAGATGGCAAACCACCTTGGTTGGGGGGCCCCAAAGCACATAGCCCGCATGACATGTTTATACATGCTGGTTACGAGGCACATGGAAATAGGACTTCACCACACCACCCCGTCGGATTGCTGAGGTCGCCACGACAACGATGACTTCGCTGTGACTACTTGGGCCGGCCTCTGTGTAAAAGCGTCTGTGTGTACAAGTGATTGTGTGTAAAAGCGCTTGTGTGTCAAGCCGTCTGTGTGTAAAAGCGTCTGTGTGTCAAAGTGTTTCTGCGTAAAAGTGTTTGTGTGTAAAAGCTTCTGTGTGTACAAGCGTCTGCGTGTAAAAGTGTTTGTGTGTAAAAGTGTTTGTGTGTAAAAGTGTTTGTGTGTAAAAGTGCCTGCGTGTAAAAGCGTTTGTGTGTAAAAGCAGCTCCTGTCTGTAAAAAGGTCTGTGTAAAAGTGTCTGTGTGTAAACATGTCTGTGTGTAAAAGTGTCCGTGTAAAAGCGTCTGAAAGCAGCTCCTGTCTGTAAAAAGGTCTGTGTCTAAAAGTGTCTGTGTGTAAACATGTCTATGTGTAAAAGTGTCCGTGTAAAAGCGTCTGTGTGTCAAAGCGTCTGTGTGTAAAAGCGTCTGTGTGTAAAAGCGTCTGTGTGTAAAAGCGTCTGCGTGTAAAAGCGTCTGTGTGTAAAAGAGTTTCTGTGTAAAAGTGTTTGTGTGTAAAAGTGCCTGTGTGTAAAAGCGTCTATGTGTAAAAGCTTCTGTGTGTACAAGCATTTGTGTGTAAAAGCAACTCCTGTGTGTAAAAGGGTCTGTGTGTAAAAGTGTCTGTGTGTAAACGTATCTGTGTGTAAACGTGTCTGTGTAAAAGCTTCTGTATGTAAAAGCTTCTGTGGGTAAAAGCTTTCTGTGTAAAAGTGTCTGTGTAAAAGCTACTGTGTGCAAAAGCTTCTCACTATTTGGTCTTGATACTCCTCTTCTCGACTGCCTATAACACATCTTTCATACATCGTTTCTAAAATTGCGTCTCCATACTAACAAGAGAAGACCCTGCTCCTCTACGCTCTCGGGCCATCCGTCGTCTAGTTTATCAAGCTCCTTTAGCTCCTTTGGCATGTCTTGTGAAGGCCAAATCTCCAGCAATCTGAATCTGTTTGCAGTAACTCATCATGGCCTCTTGAAGTTAAGAGCATCGCAGCAGAGCAAATCGCAGAGTGCTTCGCAGAAGCGGTGCTAAAATGCGGAGCATTTTGAGTTGCCGGTGAGAGCAAAGCATCTGCGAGCTTGCGAGCATGGTTAAAAAGAGTGACGTTTCTCGGTCGTGCGGAGGAGTTCCTTTGAGTTGTCAGGACAAGTTCTGGT